GGTGGGAGAGGAGGAACACAGACCCAGGGGCAGGGAAGGCTGGGGGAATCCAGTGCCTGAGGAGGGTCTAGGAGAGAATCTGGAGAGGAAGAAAGGCAGGGGCTTTGGAATCTGACCTTTGAGTCTAGGGGCTGCTCCTCATTACTTTGTTACCTCAGGCAAGTTTCTTAAACTTGCCTTGGTTTCTGACACTCTAAGGTGGGGTTTAAAATAACACCTAGTACTAATTTTCCCTTGTGTCTCAAATTAGCTAATGTGTGTGAGAAGTGTTTTGGAAGCTCTAGAGGGCTGTATCAATGTTGTGGTTGTCATTATGGAACACTAGTAGGTGAAGATTGGATATTTTGTAGTAAGATTGGATATTTTGGAGGTTTTCGTTTCTGTTTTTCTGTACTGCAGATTGAACCCAGGGGTGCTTAACGACTGAGCCACATCCCCAGCCCTTTTTATTTTTTATTTTGAGACAGGGTCTTGCTAAATTGCTAAGGCACTGCTGAGCTGGCTTTGAACTTGGGATCCCCAAGCTGCTGGGATCACAGATATGTGCCCCCAAGTTCTGTTTTGGAATTATTTTTAATGTGTCAGACACTGTTCTAGCACTTCAAATGTAGTAGCACTTTTGATTATAACAAAAACAATAAGAGAAGATTTATGGTTCCCTTTTTACAGGTGACACCAAGGCTCCCAGAGGTTAGGAAACTGGCTCAGGATCATGATTAGAAGCAGTTCAGCCAGGATTCAAACCCCAGGCTAGGTAGTTTTGGGGCCTGTACTGTTGACCACCAGGTGTTTATGGCCCTTGAGGCTTTTCTGTGACCTTCCCCCCTTGGTTGGGTGGGCAGGTGGAGACCAGGGTGCACAGTGTCTGGGGGAGCAATGGAGGAGGCGGGGAGTGCTAGATGATTTCACGTGGAGTGGGGGGCAGTGGCAGAGCTGGTGCATAGAGGTTCATGCAGAGGATTTCTTTTTGAGGAGAGACCAGGGATGCTGCAGACTAGAGGTCTGATTGCTGGTGGAGAGCTCAAGGATGAGTAGCAATAAATAATGAATCATAATGTCTAATGCTTTCTGTTTTTGAAAGTAGGTGATCTCACTCAGTCTCATAGTAATGCTGTAAGGAAGGCAGGACAGACTGCTCAGAGAAATTTAGTGATCTGCTAGTGTGGGCTCTGTCCATGCCATCTAGGACCCAAAAGGACAAAGGTGGGCAGAAGACATTTAGGTAATAGAGAGCGGTGAAGACAAACTGGGGTAAGCTGAGCCTGGGGGTTAGGAGCAGAGGATTGGTTAAAGAAGAAGTGATTCCACAGTTGAGGCAAATAAAGGCAGCAGGAGTCAGATACAGGGCTGGGTGGGGACAGCAGGTGTACATGTGCGAAGGCTGGGTGGGGAGCAGGGAAAGCTGATAATGGTCATGTGCCTCCAAGGAGGGTTTCATGCTGATGTCCCTAGGCTGGGCCAGTGAGAGCAGGGGTGGCTTAGGGCGCGGTGTCCTGTCACACTGGTACCAGCAGGTTCTGAAGCAACAGGTGAGTGCCCCCACATCCAGGCCCCCACCCAGCTTCACTGGCATGGTCAGCACTGAGACAGGAATCAGGAGTTCCATCCTCCCCTCAGCCTGTTCTCTAGGAGGGAGCTGGTGACCAAGTGTTACCCTCTTCTTTGTGTTGGTCCCTCTGCCACTGGGTGTCTCTTTTCCCATTATTATTATTATTATTATTACTACTACTACTACTACTAATTTTTTGTATTTTCTCTTCCCTTTTTGGCCTTCTGTTGTTTTGCCTTCTATCTTTTCTTTCTGTTTGGTCCCAGGGTCTGGCCCAGGATTTTTCTCCTCCAGATTTCCCTACCTCTCAGGGTTTCAGCCTTGCCACTGTCTTCTTTTCGACCTAGTTGTTCCTGGACCTGTCTGTTCACATTCTTCACTCTCTGCCGCTTACTCCTCCAATGCCTCCCCCTTTGGAGGCTGGCTACTTCTCTATTAAATATTGAACCTCTTCCCCACCCAACACCACACTCCCAGAACAATGAAACTGCCCTTTTTCTGCCATCCTGATATCCTTTAGAGACAACAACCACTTCTTCCTCCCTTTTCTTCTGCTGTCAAAATCTCATAGGGCTCACCTGTCATCCCAGCGTTGTGGGAGGCTGAGGCAGGAGGATTGCGAGTTCAAAGCCAGCCTCAGCAATTTAGCAAGGCACTAAGCAATTCAGTGAGACCCTGTCTCTAAATAAAATACAAAATAGGGCTGGGGATGTGGCTCAATGGTGGAGTGCCCCTGAGTTCAATCCCCGCCCTCAAAAAAAAAAAAAAATCTCATAGGCTCCACTCTGGAGAAATCAGCATGCAGGAGGACTTGGGATTGGTCTGAAAGGTAAGAGAGAAAGCCAGGCTCCTCTCTGGCCCTTACTGATGGCTACTTTCCTCCCCAGGAACTTTGGCTAAGAGCATCGGGACACTCTCAGACCCCTGTAAGGACCCCACACGAATCACTTCTCCGAACAACCCATGTCTCACTGGAAAGGGTAGCTCCAGCAGCTTCAGTAGCCAAAGTGGCTCCAGCAGCTTCAGCAACTCCATTTCCAGTTCCGGTGGTTCCAGTGGTGGCTCCAGTGGTGGCTCCAGTGGTGGATCCAGTGGTGGATCCAGCAGTTCTAGTATCTCTAGTGGTGGTTCCAGTGGTGGTTCCAGTGGTGGCTCCAGTGGTGGCTCCAGCGGTTATAGTATCTCCAGTGGTGGCTCCAGCGGTGGCTCCAGTGGTTATAGTATCTCCAGTGGTGGCTCCAGTGGATCCAGTTTCTACCAGGGTGGTTCTGCAGGATCTGCATTATTTAAACCAGGATCAGGATATCCCAAAGGAACAGGGGATGGCTCTGCTCTACCGGTCAATGATAAGTCTCACATGTCTGGAGGAAGCTCTTCCTTTTCCCAAACCTCTCAGATGTCCAGCAGCAGTAGTCAAAGCAGCAGCTCCAACCTGCGTCCCTGTAGCTCAGATGTCCCTGACTCTCCCTGCAGTGGGGGACCCATTGTCTCACATTCTGGCCCCTACATCTCCAGTTCCCACTCTGTGTCAGGGGGGCAGAGGCCCGTAGTAGTGGTGGTGGAGCAGCATGGCTCTGGTGGCCCTGGAGTGATTCAAGGTAGCCCCTGTAGCAATGGTGGCCTCCCAGGCAAGCCCTGCCCCCCCATCACATCTGTACAGCAATCCTATGGTGGCTATGAGGTGGTAGGTGGCTCCTCTGACAGCTATCTGGTCCCAGGCATGACCTATAGCAAGGGTAAAATCTACCCTGTGGGCTACTTCACCAAAGATAACCCTGTCAAGGGGTCTCCAGGGTCCCCGTCCTTTGCAGCTGGGCCCCCCATCTCAGAGGGAAAATACTTTTCCAGCAATCCCATCATCCCCAGCCACAGCTCATCTAGTTCCAACATATACCAGTCAGGAGCCTCCTCAGCCATTGCATTCCAGCCTGTGGGCTCTGGTGGGGTCCAGCCCTGTGGAGTTGGCTTCACAGGACCTAAGGGACCCTGCTCCCCTTCTGGCTCTAGAGTGCGCATCAGTTCTAGCATATCCATCAATTCCGGTTCATCCTACCACCCCTGCAGTGGTGTTTCCCAGGGTCCCTGCTCCCCACCAGGCACTGGCTCCTTAGGAGGCAGCTCCAGCTCCAGCTCCAGCTCCCTATCCAGTGGCAAAATCATCCTTCAGCCCTGCAACATCAAGTCCAGCTCTTCTGGTCAACCTTGCATTTCTGTTTCCTCCTCGACATTGAGTGGGGGTCCCGATGGCTCTCCTCAGCCTGATCCCTCTGCTGGTGCCAAGCCCTGTGGCCTCAACAGCCCTGGAAGGATCCCTTGCCGCTCTATCCGGGACATCCTGACCCAAGTGAAGCCTCTAGGGCCCCAGCTAGCTGACCCTGAAGTTTTCCTACCCCAGGGAGAGTCACTTGACAGTCCATAAGTCAGCTTTTTGTACACATGCACGGGCACACACATATACACATGCCATCTCCCAGTTGGGAGACATCCAGGGGCCCAGACATGGGGTTAGCTCATATCCTCTCCTAAAAGAGCTGCTCTGCCTCCTCTAGTATTCCAGTGTTGCAAACTCTCCCTTATTACCTCTTCTTTCTTCATCTCCTATCACTCACTGGCCCAAATGGTAGACTCCAAATCCCTTTCCCCATTCTCTCCTATATCTTAGATCCCATTCTACTGCAGTGCCATTTCTACCAGAACACCACCCCTTAAAATTTCCTTGGGTATTTCTTTGAGACAGTCCATTAACAAAACCCACCTACTCAAGTTCTTGACTAGGAAACCCTGATCTCTGATGCCTGGACAAGTCATTCCTTCTTTTGCCAGATAAAGCAAAGTCCAAATTGTTCACCGAAGATAATGACCATGTTTCACTGACCTATCTTCACCATCTGCTCAACCAAACCTCTATACCACGGGATGCTGTTTCCAACACACTCTTGCATCAAAAAGCCAGCCCTCTCCCTGGCTGTCACTTCTCTCAATGCTGAGATGCTGCCCTGTGTGAGACACCAGGGCACCTGCTGAGAATGGAGCCATCTCCCTGCTTTCTCTGGATCCTGGACATGGCTCAATAAACTGTGTGAACTCGATGCAGATTTTTTGCCTTCTTAGAGTCCTGGGTCTCCTCCTAGGACATGGGTGGTGAACCTCCTGTGCCTCTAGAGGTCTCCATGTCCCTGTTTCCATTCATAAGTTGGCCCAGTATTTCTCTCATGCCTTACAGCTACTCCCACAAAGAAGGAAAACAATAAATATTTGTTGAACTGAAAGCAGAAGTTGCCTGGTTTCCCAGACCCTTCCATCCACCTTCCCCCTCTTTCTTGGCTCCAGGAGATCCAGTCTCTCTACTCCCCATTCACACTGGAGTCCTTTTCTCCCTTATATAAAATCCTCATTATTTCCTTCCCCTCTCCACCCAAGTTCTTTCTCCTCTACCATTAGTGTGCCTCACCTTCTAGACGCCATCCTCTCTGGGAGTCCCCAGTGTTGATGACTTCCTGGGTTTCTGGAACACCTGGAACTCTGGGAAGGCTAGATACAACAACTCAGACCAGATTCCTTGTGAATGAATAAGAGCCTGGTTGTTCTGGGAGCTGGGGGCGGAGAGAGTGAGACAAGATGGGAGGCTGGCAGGAAGTGCAGCCAAGCACGTTGACTCACTTAACGAGATCCCAGCCCATGCAGACCAGAGCCAACAGTGTCCTCTCTGCTTCCATACACTTGCTGCCTCTGCTGTGGATCCAGAGTGAGAGCTGTGGTGGGTTAACAGATTAGAGTGCTCAAGTGCAGAAGGGAAGGTAGCCTTCATGGAAAAGAGAGAGAAAGTAGAGAGTATGGACAGGGTCATGTAATCTACTTCCTGAGATGGCAGAGGAGAAGCTGAGGTTGAGGATGCTCTTACATTCCAAGGAGGGCAGGGGGCACTATATGTCCCCGTAGAAAGGCCTCATTGGCCACTTCTCAGAGCCCCTGCTTTGCTGCAAAGAAATCCACCCCTATCCTAGGATCTAACCTTTCCCCTCCTTTCAAAGTGGAGTAGACTTGTACTGAATTTAGGACTGCTGAAGTTCCAAGTTCAGAACCAGCAGCAATATGTTACATTGACTAGAAATGACTTAGGGCAGCTGAACCAAACTTCAGGGTTGATTGGAGACAAAGTAGGGCTCCAAAACAGTCCTATTTCTGTCATTACTGTAGAGTCACCCTTGGTTCAGCACCTGGTCCCCAAACTTCAGTCAATGGCAGGATTAAAAGCCCTCAGAAGTTCTCTAGATGGGAAAAGTAGGGGAGATAGGCCCTCTGATATGGCGACTCTAGTTTCTGAAGTGGACCAGGTTAAAAGTTTTGCAAAATTGCTGGATGTTTCCCAAAAGGGGTACTGTGCTCCCTGTACTATAGAGTTCTGTCACTCTTCCAGTACCTAGCCCACAGGGTCAGAGGATGAGACCAGATCAATAAAATTGTGTAACAGCTCACACTTTTCCTCAGGGAACCAGTGAGCCTATCTAATGTGTGTGTGTGTGGGGGGGGGGGTTGGATTCCTAGAAGAAATGAAGAGAACAAAGGCATTTGTGTGTGTGTGTGTGTATGTGTTCTTGATGATTGAATCCAGGGCTCAGTGTATTTCTGCCACTGAGCTATAGACCAGCCCTTAACTTTTTATTTAAATATTTTTAAAATATTTGTATTTCACAGCCAACTTTCTGAGCCATAACAAAATACTTGACTCTAAGTAATGTACAGTGAATAGAGGTTCATTTAACTAGATTCAAGAGCATGGAACTAGTAACTGCTAGGCTCTGGTGAGGACCCCCCCCCACCCCTTGACTATGTCCCAACATGTCAGAATTGCATGTGAGAGGGAGAGATCACATGGCAAGACAGGATGCCAGAAAATTCCATGGTCTGGCTCACTCTTTTTTTTAAAACACCCATTAGTGAATTAGTGGGAACTAATCCACTCCAAGAGTCCAACATTGATCATCCCAATGACCTAATTGCTTTCCATTAGGCCTCGCCTCTAAAAAGTTTACCACTTCTCAATACTGCCACACTAGGGACCATGCTTCAGTATACAAATCTGTGGGGGACACATTCAAACCATATGTAAAACATACCAATATTTAAAAACAGACAAAGAGTTAACAGACCTTATTCTCCCACCGCTCTGCTGCAAGTCATGGCCATTTGACAATAGCATTTTTCTAATGTATGAAATATGATATGTCAAGAGCTTTGTAATGTTTTGAACAACCAATAAAAAAGGAAACTTAATAAGTAGAATAAATAAAGTTTTCTAGTTTCATTATCCCTTAAAAAAAATGACCAGCTCTATTGTTCCTTGGAAACAGCTGCTCTCTCTCAGTATTTCATACATTTTATGAACATATATGACCATATGCCCAACACCCCCAACATCATCAAAGATGTCCATGTTCTCATCATTGGAACCCGTGAATATGTCATATTACATGGCAAAGAAAAATAAGGTTGTGTATGGAGTTAAGGTTGTTAGTCATTCTACCTTGATTTAAGGGGATTATCCTGGATTATTTGGGTGGATCCAATATAATCACAGGTTTTAAAAAGTGCATATGGGAGGCAAAAGGAAGACACTTGATACAGTGTGAGAAGAACCTGGTGTTTGGGAAAGATAGAGCATGTTTGGAATCACCAGCCAAGGAATGCAGGTAGTCCTAGAAACTGGAAAAGGAGAGCTAACAGATTAGATTGTTCCCTAAAATCCTGATGACACCTAGATTTTTAACCTGGAGACTTTTTTTTTTTTTTTTAAACTGGGGATTGAAACCAGAGGGGCTTTATCATTGAGCTATATCTCCAGCCCTTTCATTTTGAAACTAAGTTGCATAGGGCCTCACTAATTTGCCCAGGCTGGCCTCTAATTTCCTGTCTCAGACTTCCCATTTGTTAGGATTACAGATGCATACTACCACACTTTGGTTGAGACTCATTTGGGCTTTTGACTTCCAATACTATAACATTAAGTTTGTGGTACTTTGTTACAGCAGCAACAGGAAATTAATACACTGTCATCTCATGGATGGGAACTAGTTTTATTTCCCTAGATACAGGCAAGGAGATATGTGTAGAAGCAGTTCCTCAGATGGGGGGCCACTCCATGCCCCAGAATCCCCTGTAGGTGGGGTTCAAGATGGAGATATGGGCATGCATGAAGGAGAGTGCTGGGTGAGAATGATCTGGATCACAAAGAGAGAGAAGAACCAAGTGTTTCTATTACTGATGGAGGCAATGAGGATGTTGGGATCCCCAAGGGTGAAGGTCCTAGTGGGCCTGATGTAGGGACTAGGGAAAGGCAGATCTGGCAACCAAAAATGAGCTGTGGGCCAGAACACCTGGATCAAGAAGAGGCAGGGAGTTTTAGGAAAGGAGCCAGGCATAGAAACACCCAGCTTTCTCTGGGACATTCAAGTGACACCTGTTGCCACAGACTGAATCAAGAATGAGGGTGGACCGTGAGATCTATTGTCTCTAAAACCACTGGCCCAGCCTGTTTCTTCTGTCCCCCACCCCACTAACAGGATAAAGGTGCTGTCTTGGACTGAAGGAGATGCTGGAGACAAGCAGGATGCTGGCCCGTGTGGCAGGGAGTCGGGCTCCTCTGGGCCTGCTCCTGGTCTGTCTGCATCTCCCAGGTATGAAGTCCATGCCTGGTCCTTGGGCAGGAGGGGACATGGGCCCCTCCAGAGCTGGAATGACAGGGAGGGTAAAGGCAGCAGGATATACACAGAGGGTACAGATTTGGGTCCCTGAAGAGATAAGAATTGGTGTTGGGGAAGTGAAGGGACTTTTAGTGAAGAGAATCAGGAAAAGGAGGACGTTTGGTACCAAAATGAGTCCATTGACTGCTTCGTCTTCCCTTCCCTCAGGCTTCTTTGCCCGGAGCATCGGTGCCATGGAGGAGAAAGTTTCTCCCCACTTGGGGACAAACTTGCCTCTGCTGGGACAACCTTCCTTCACTGGTCCCACCAACTATGGACATCCTCAGCCGAAACCAAACTCTGGGTCTAATGACTTAGAGGGAGTTCCTCTCAAGCCCAATGTTCCTCCACCAGATGGCTCCCAACCTGCAGGGGGATCTGGGGTGCGGAGGTGGCCTCCATCCTGGGGGCCTCCTCTGGGGTTCTGGCCCTCTGAGGATCCTTGGCAGATGGATGCTGCAAACGAGGACCAGCTGGGAGAGATGCCACCTGAAGGACTGCCTTACCTTTCCAGTGCTGGTGCTGTCCCACTGGGTGGCCGTCCTTTGTCTGTGGCATCCTCTGCTCACCCGGAAGAGCCCTCATCTGAGACTTCACTTCTCCAGAAGAACTCAGAGTCAGGACAGCTGCCACGTTCTAATTTGCTGGGAGCCCAGAGACAAGCTCTTTCCCAGCACCCTTTCTGGTCTCTCATCCATAGGCTTCTGCCTGGCATCCCCTGGGGGACCCTGAGTCCTGGTGTGTCCTGGGGAGGTGGAGGTCCTGGGACTGGCTGGGGAACAAGGCCCATAGCACGCCCTCCTGGAACCTGGGGTATCCATAATCAATTCCCAGGTAGCATCTGGGGGAATATTAATCGGTATCCTGGAAGCATCTGGGGGAATATTAATCGGTATCCAGGTACCAGCTGGGGGAATATTCATTTGCGCCCAGGTATCAATAATCGGTTTCCTCCTGGCCTCTCTTGGAACACCCCAGCTGGTTTCCCTAATCCTCAGAACCCTGATGAGCAGTGGGAGTAGAGATGGTGAGAGGAACCCCGAGTCAGAGGAGGGAGTGGAGCTCCAGCCCCTCATGATACAAGTTGAATCAGGTTCCATCAGCACTTTCCAACATTATCCCCATTTTTACCTCCTCCCTTACTGCTCCACGATAATCTCCAATAAAATAAGCAACTCTTGAATTTGCTACTTGTCGGTGTCTTTGTTTCTGGGTATAAACTGAAATGCATTTGGTCCATCCCAGTTTTCTAGCCATCCCCATGTTTCTCTAAGGTTCCCTGTGAACTGACCCTCTCTTATCATCCCCATCTTTGGGAAATATCAAAGCCCAGGTGTATGTGGGTGGAGCCTCATGGTCTCATCTTGTCTGGGTGGGAGGGCTGGTTTCAGAATGGTCTCTCTGGCCTCTCATCCATAGGCTTCTGCCTGGCCTCCCCTGGGGGATTCTGAATCCTGGTGTGTCCTGGGGAGGGGGAGGTCCTGGGACTGGATGGGGAACAAGGGCCATAGCACAGCCTCCTAGAATCTGGGGTATCCATAATCAATTCCCAGGTAGCAGTTGGGGGAATATTAATTGGTGTCCTGGGGAGATATTAATCAGTATCCAGGCACCAGCTAGGGGAATATTTATTTGCACCCAGGTGTCAATACTCAGTGTCCTCCAGGAGTTCTTCATTCTCCTGGCTTCTCTTGGAACACTGCAGCTGAAGTCTGAAAAGGGGAGGAGAGGTAGCAGGACTCAATGAGAGGACACCTGCTATAGGAGGGAGGGAGAAGGACCAGGAAGCGAGCACCAGGGCCAGGTGGGATAATACCCTTCTATTCACAGGGACACAGAGAACCAGAGGTCACCTGTCTATGCTTATCTTTTATTCCCCAGAAAGTCACACTTCTTGGAAGTGGAGATACATGGATCTCCTCCCTTACATGCATCACTTAGTGCATTGTGCCCCGGAGAACCACACCACAGACTTTGAACATTTGTTGAGTGCATAGTAGCCCTTGATAAAGAAAAAGAGAAAAGGGAGCGGAAAGGGAGAGAAACTTGGAGCCAACAATCCTGCCTACAGGAACATCTGATACTTTTGTTCCCATGGGATGACATAGTTTCTGTGGTCACAATGACATTTCTCCAGCCTCCCTCTGGTTTTCCCAGGAGCTCAGCATCCTTGAACAGGAGTTGGTGTGAGGACAGTGGAGAGTTAATCTACAAAAGTGCAGAAAGAATTTAGCAGGAGGGGCCCGGTGCTGACTGGGTCTCTAGATTCTCTTTTCCCCACGCTGTCTACCCTGCTCTTAGTGTGCAGGTATGTGTGCTCCATACAGCCCGGGAGCACCCCAGGTCCAGGAGACTAGACAGCATGTGGGAGAGAGAGCAGGCAACAGGAGGACCTACGCCAGAGCCCTAGAGAGCCACCTGCCTGAGTGAGAAGGTGCACTGGGAATTCCTTTTAGGGACCCTCCCCCATCAGCCCACCTTTTCCTTCATCAACCCCTTCTCCATCGCCTCCACCTCCTTGCCCAATTACTTCCCCTCTTTGGACTGTCTCGTTTTCTCCTGGTCCTAGGGCAAGGGTAAGGAGCCATTTTCAGGCCCAACATCATTCTCTCAGGCTTGGAGTGTCATTTTTTTCTGTCCCTCTTTCTGGTTGCCCCCTCACTATAATCACTCCTATTTGCACTTTTAAATTCTGTGTCAGAAATCCCCTACTCTGTTCCCCAGAGTCATTAGTGTAAGCACCAGTGAACAGGGAATTTGTCTATTTTTCACTGCTGCATGCCTGGCACCAGGAACAGTGTCTGGACCAGGGCAGGTGCTCAGCAACACTGAAGGAGAGGGTGAACCTCCTCCCCATCTCTCTACAAGTGCTCTAGTTTGGACCTGGAATGTCTTTTAAATGGTCTCTCTGACCTCTCATCCATAGGCTTCTGCCTGGCCTCCCCTGGGGGACCCTGAATCCTGATGGTTACATTCTTATTGTGGTTATTGGTGGAAATGGTGGCTGAAGGAAGCCATGGGAGAAAGAGCACTTGATCCCCAGTGTGGCACTATTTGGAAGTGGTGGAAACTTTAGGGGTTGGTGCCTAAAGTGGGAAGTAATTAGGTCATTGGAGGTGTGCCCTTGAAGGGGACTGTGGGATCCTGGTCCCTTCCTCATTTTCTTTGCTCTTGGCTTGCCATGAAATGAGTGGTTTTGCTCTGCCATGTGCTCCCACCATGATGTGATGCCTTGCCACAGGCCATTAAAAAAAAAAAAAAAAACAGGGCCAGCTGATCATGGACTGGAAGCTAAATTGACAGCCAAAAGAAACCTTTTCTCTTTATAAATTATTTCAAGTATTTGTTATAGTAACAGAAAGCTAATGCACTAAGCCTCTGTCATTTTCTTTCTTCTTCTACTGGCTTCGTGAGCCACCTGACTGCACACAGAGCCTGATCTGCACTCCTGCTATGGCCTTCCCACAGCCTACTGATATTTCCTCTTGTATCTCATTAAGCCCTTCTCAGCTCATACATACTCTGCACATTTCACCGTTTAACCTTCTATTCATGATGAAGGTATTATAGGATTATTTTTAGTGATGGAGAAACTAAGAGAGAAGTTTTACAAGTGATACAAAATTTTACAAGTGACACAGACAGTGACTTCAAGCTAATTTTTCTTATCTGTCCAGGAAATGTTCAAGTACAATATGAAATTAACAGAAATACCAACTAGATTCGGGACATAGTGTTTTTACACACACTCTTCCAGCTAGTCCTCCTAAGAACTCCTCCAGGTCCTGCAGGGCCCCACGTGCAGGGGAGATACTGAGGCCCAGAAAGGAGGGCAGGGCATATATGCAGGCAACACTGAGCTGAGGGGGTGAAGTTCAGCACTGATGGCTTAGGAAAGCTGGGTCTGCAACAGAGGAGGGTCTTGGGTAGCTCTGGCCAGTTCCATCAGAGTGGTCTTTGGCTTAAGGTTAGTTGTTGTTTAAAGAGAGGGGGTTGGTAATTTGCCATGTAATAAAGAGGCCAATGTTGCAATGGAGACTGCTGCTGGTGTACTGATCTTAATTTTAATTTTTTATTTTGGTATTGGGCATTGAACCTAGGGGCACTTTACCACTGGGCTACATTCCCAGTCTTTTGAGACAGAGACTAAATTGCCTAGGCTGGCTTCCAACTTGCTATCCTTTTGCCTCAGCCTCCCAAGCCACTATTACAGGCATGTGCCGTCATGCTCAGCTGATTATTACATTTTTATTGTGGTTATTGGTGGAAATGGTGGCTGAAACAGCAAGAATCATTTCTCCTATCCAAGAGGAAGGAAGCTATAGGAGAAAGAGCCCTTGTCCAGAAGCTGGAAGATCACATTTCCCCTCCTGCCTTACAACCTTTCTTGCCATGCCAGTTTAGGAGAATCTTTTATCTCTGTAGACCTTAGTTTTCTCATCTGTGGAATGGAATGAAGGGAGCTGTACAGCCTACTTCACAGGGTTGTTATGAAATTTAATTAAGATGGTGACAGAGTTGGGCTGAGGCGAAGCTCAGTGGTAGAGCACTCGTCTCACATGTGTGACGTCCTGGGTTCGATCCTCAGCACCACATAAATGAAATAAAAGATACTGTGTCTGCCTACAACTAAAAAAAAAAAAAAGATGGTGACAAAGTGCATTAGAGACTGAAAATCTCTGAGCAAGCAAGGGGGATTGATGATAATGCTGCACATTGTCCCAGTGAGGCTGCCCTGGCAATACCACGTAGGGTAGTTCTTAGGCCACAGTGGGATAGTGACATGGCTGCAATTAACTCTGTGGTTGAGTTTGGGAGGGGTCAGTGTGATGCTCCCCACAGGGAATCACACTCAGGAGAAGGAGTCCAAGATCAAGAAGGGAGAGGTGGCTTCTCATTTAAATATTTTATTCCTGGGGCTGGGGATGTGGCTCAAGCGGTAGCGCGCTCGCCTAGCATGCGTGCGGCCCGGGTTCGATCCTCAGCAGCACCACATACCAACAAAGATGTTGTGTCCGCCAAGAACTAAGAAAAAATAAATAAATGTTAAAATTCTCTCTCTCTCTCTCTCTCTCTCTCTCTCTCTCTCTCTCTCTCTCTCTCTCTGTCCCCCTCTCTCTCTCACTCTCTCTTTAAAAAAAAATAAATAAATAAATAAATAAATATTTTATTCCTTAAACAAACCGCCTTTGGCCATTCAGATTTTTTTTTTCTTTTTCTCTCCAGACAGATGTAATGAATGTAGTTCTGTATCACATGCTACAACAGCTCAGGGTGAGAATTTTCCTTCCTTTTTTCCGTTTCTTTTCTTTTCTTGAGTACTGGGGATTGAGCCCAGAGATCCTTTACCACTGAGTTACCCCCCACACCAATCCTTTTAATTTTTTTTTTTTTTTGAGACAGAGTCTTCTTAAATTGCTGAGGGCCTCATTAAGTTTCTGAGTCTGGCCTTGAATTTGGGATCCTTCTGCCTCAGCCTTCTCAGTAGCTGGGGATTATAAGAGTGCAACACTGTGCCCAGATATGGTGAGATTTTTCTAATAATTTTTTTTTTCTGATACTAAAACTGTTTCTTTTCATATTACCTAAAGGCCCACACCAAGCTGAGGGAAGAAAAGACTGGGTACTAAGTTTCTTGGAGTAAATTCCTGTTGATATGTCATCTCTTTATAAGGAGATGTGGCAGGAACAGCCAGTTCTAGCCCCACAGAAAGAAAGATTCATGGGCAATAAACATGCTGCTCATCACTTTTGTGAGGTCTGCCTGCCCTTAAAAAGGAACTATACCCTTAACCCTAAGGGATTTTTCAATGTGACAGTGGTTCATGTGGCTTCCTATGGCAGAGGCCCCTGAGCTCCTCCTGGAACTTCTACTCTCCTGCCACCCATGGTAGTGGGCCAGGGAGCAGTTGGCCTCCACCATCTTGTGCATGCCACATTTCCTCTTGATTCCAGGTCCCAGGTTGCTGAAAGCCTCTAGGAGTTTGTGTGACAATTTCCTCTGGCCCCCGCATCTTCAGGTGGTTATTTTCTCAGTCCTCAGTTATCATATAAGTCATCTAGGGACACAGGGACCTGGTGGAAATGTGACCTTTGAGGATGGGTACCAACCCCATCAAGGCTCAGAGCTTTTCAGAGGAAGATTATGGAGGGGTTGAATTTGATGGTTGCCTGTTCCTCTGC